ACTGAAATAAAATTTAAAAATCAGTTAATTTTTTTTTTTTTTTTCAGTGGCCCTAATCCTCTTCCGTATCCATCAGTCAGAAGAAAACTGGTAAAGGTTCTGAAGCGTTGGATGAAGAGCTGAGGAGAACAATGACCTGAGATGTGGAGAGCACTGAAAAAAATCTAAATCTAGGTAAGTAAAAAAAAGTGCATTTGTTCTTGAATTGAGGTAAAAGAGACATTTGGCCAAAGGAACAGGACGATTTACATTTAAAATCAGAAAACGCAATTGCATTTTCTTGTCATCTAATGATCTTGTTAGTAAAATACTAATTCCATTGGCAAACATCTCATTTACCTGCTCAGATTAAGTATGAATACACTTCATTTAAGACATTTTTACTTATTTCTAGATCTTTTTTTCAGTGAGGAGGAGAGATGAGGAGAAAAAGCTGCTCCGCCTCAATATTTCACAGCTACAGCCTGAATAGATGAGTAGAAACTAAACGGGCCATTGATCGGCTGATAAATCTGTTCTGGATTGAATAACAGAAATTTTAGCAGAATGTTGAGCTGATCTGTCAAGAAACTTTGGTTTTATTGTTGGCGTCTAAACGTACGTCCACACCGAAGGAAAAACAAGCGACTTGTTTCCACGTGGGCAGAAAGTTGAAGCGTTGAGGCGACGGGCGGTTAGCGATCCAGGAAGGTGGACCAAACAGCGATGTTGGGCAGTGGAGCCAGTAGGAAGTGCCTTGAAGCTCCTGATTGGTTATGCAGTGAAGCTTTTGCTGTTGTGGTAGTAAGTACGGCAAGTCGTTCCTGAATATAATCGCTACACCTGGATGCTAATTAGACATTTGTTAGAAGATAACTGATTTAACCGTAAAAACGGCTTGGTGAGGAAAAATTTATTGGAGATCAACAAGTTTCGGTTGTGGGCTTATGACTCTGAAGGCCACAGCCGAAACGCGTTTTTCTCCAATCAAGTGTTGCAGATGTTCTTTTTTAGTTCATCGCCCGCTTCATGCACCTTGGAAGTTGTTCCAGCAGTTTTGGATCTCTACGGCTGTGTCAAAACATTCGCCCTAACCCCTATAAGGCACAATATAGTGGTCGCGCCATTTTAGTCGCGCCTCACTGGATGCTGTCGGCAGCGAGGCAAACGTACCCAGAGGGTGGCCATCTTGGCGTTTACATATATAATGTCTATGGTCCAAACATCTAGTGGATGAAAAAGCGCCTTGAAAAGTAGTGAGTATCCATGGTCACTAGGGGTGGAACGGTTCACAAAATCCACGGTTCGGTTCGGTTCACGGTTTTTGGTTCGGTATATGTTTATTGTTACACCGAAATTCCATACAAATTCATGAAATTAATGAAAAAAATCAAAAAAAATTAATGAATTGTTATTTTTAATGATCCACGGAAACCCTGGATCATTTGCTGCTTTGAATTTAATCATCTGGCGCATGCTCTCTACCATCTCCAAGGAACTCAGAGCGGAGCGGACGGGAGCCGCAGTGGAGGCTGTAGGCTTTGCTTTGAGCAGCCAGTCTGGAGCGCAGCGGGGCGGAGCGCTGATGGAGTATGAGGGATTTCGGGGTTAGCCTGACATGTTGGTCAT